GAAACATTAAAACCCCATCTTCCTTTATGTCTGATTGAAACAATTTGTTCTAAAAATACGAAGTGAGTACCAGCAATCGTTAGAGGACTATATGATATTTGAGTATGTGAAGTTTGCTAAACTAAAGCTCTTACATAGACTCTTCTAGAAAAGATGATGAATTGCAATTGTTTGTTGACTATGAACATAGTTTGTTGAGTTTCAAGAGGGTTTACGGTTTATACCTTAAAATGTGAATAGCTTGATACTTGATTATGAGAAATTTTATGAATAAGATTTTTCGTTCATGGAATATAATGATAATTATAAATGTGATGCAGCAATTTCTGTATTTTTTTATTAACACCTCTCTCTATAAACATGTGGTCATATTTATCGAGTTCGGTATTTGCTTGAGGACAAGCGGATTCTAAGCTTGGGGGAGTTGATATGTCCATTTTGCATCATTATTTCCTACTGTTATTTATCTTATTTTGATGTTATATTTCATATTATGATGCAATTCTAATGCCTTTTGTCTCTTAAAATGCAAAATACATCAAGAGAGGGGGATTACCGGCAGCTGGAATTCTGACATGAAGAAACTACAACGGAGATTTATTTTGTAATATATAAAAAATAATGGAAGAAAGAAGCACCAAAGAAGAGCCATAGGGGGCCCACAAGGGCAGGGGACGCGACCACCCCCTCTTTGCGTCACCTGGGCTTGTGGAGCCCTTGTGGTCCCGTCCCAATGTTCTTTTGCTATATATTACCATTTTTCGTAGAAAAAAGAATAAGGGGAGGATTTTTGGGACTTTCCGCACCGTCTAGAGGCGGAACCAGGACATGAGAACTTTTATTCTCTGGCGGAACGATTCCTTCGGGGATACTTCCCTCCAGGAGGGGGAAATCGAAGCCTTCATCACCACCATCGCTCTCCTCATTGTGGGAATCATCAACATATTCACCAACATCATCTCATATATAAACCCTATTCCATCTCCTGTGTTCAATCTTTGTATCAAACCTCAGATTGTTACCTGCGGTGCTACTAGTATTTATTACATCTTATAGTTGATGCTAGTTGTTTTACTTGGTGGAAGATTATTATGTTTAGATTGTCAATCATATGTTTATACCCACCGATCATGTTCAATATGATGAGTTGTGAGTAGTTCTATTTGTTCTTGAGGACATGGGAGAAGTCTTGTTGCTAGCAATCATTTGAAATTGATCGCAATCTAATGTTTTGATATTATGTTGTGTTGTTCTTTCTTTATGGTGTTATATGAATGTCGACTACATGACACTTCACCATCTATGGGCCTAGGGGAAAGGCATTCTTGAACTATTTTCTAGATGATGGGTTGCAGGAGTGATAGAAACCTAAACCTCAGTTTATGAATTGTTCCTTAAGGGGATGTTCTGGATCCATATGTTAAATGCTATGGTTAGATTTATCTTAATTACTTCTCTTGTATTTGCAGATGCTTGCATGGAGAGTATAATCATAAATAGGTATTTGTTCAAGTAAGGGCAGTACCTTAGTTCTAGTCCACCCACATAGCATTTGCCAGATCTGTTGGCTCTCTTGATATATTCACAGTTGATGTGTAAATCAAGGAAGATAGTTGGCTCGCTCCTAGTGTAGTGACTTCGATCTCTTCTTTCTGATTTATTCTACATTATGGGCTGGTTTGTGAAGAATTGCAAGCCTTCTCTGCTTAGGGTGATCCATAACCGATGTTCCTTCAACGGTTGCCGAATTTCATTTCTTACGACAAGTGACTATTGGTGGTCTTCAAAGCTTGGTATGACGAGTACTAGCATACATGGTTGTCGAGTACTACATCCATCTAGTTTTATTAGTCCTCTTTGTATTTTGTGCTAAACTTTGACCTTAGATTTGATTAGCAAAATATAAGTTATATGCCATAAAAATTATGTTGCTAGATTCATATTTGAAAGAAGTTTCCAATGATGTTATTTTGTCACATATAGATTATATTTTGCTAATTAAATCTATGATCAAACTTTGACCCAAGAAGCAAGGGGGACTAATTAACCCAGAGAAAGGCAGTATAACTCAATTCCGCCCCAAACAATTTCAGTAGATCTAGGGAACTGCCTACCGACTAAGAATTTCTTCTGGCCCCTTCTTCATGTTAGACTAAACACAAGGAGCATGCTCCAAAGAAATTCTTTTCACCTTCCCGGTTATAATTGTGTCTTTTACCAAGAGCAAACAAATGATACACATCTGCACTTATTTTTGGACTACCCATTTGCCCAGAGTTGTTAGTTGAAGCTTATCCCTAACAAGAAAATAACATTACCTCTTTTCATGAAGTGGAATTGGTTAAAAGGGTCATAGCAAAGGCTTTTTGCTATGACGGTTACCATTCTATCCTACCAGAACTTCTGGAAATAAGAAATGAGAAAATCTTTCATAACAAATATCCTAGCATTGATGATTGGAGCAGAAACCTCAAAGAGGATCTTATTCTAGTTGCCCTCAAATTAAAAATTAGCATTTCCATAACTTCCAATCTTGGATACAACTTGTGTTCTAGCCCCCTTTTCAGTATTTTACCCTCCCTCCTAAACATACAACTCTTGTAATTATTTGCTCCCTAAACCCTAGAATACACACAGTAGGCTCATTTCTTACCATGTTCCTGGCAAACTAGCATCCATGGTTGTCGAGTATAATTCATGGAGCTAGCGGGTCGTACACATAATATGCTATTTCAATATTTTCATCTTCCCCGACGGTTTAGTTACTATAGATGTTTGGCATCCTGCCTTGGAAGGAATTCGTCTTTTTCGTCATCTTAGGTTTCTATAGCAAATCAAAGCAACATTATTGAATACTAAAAATACCTCCCATATCATACGTTGATGGGTCGTGGGCTCTATTGGGATGGCAAAATAGAAGTATAAAATACCCTTTGGCCCTTTAGGAAATGACAAAGTTACCAATCGAGGCAACTGGCTCGATCTATCTAGTAATGGTACTATGGTACCATAAAAGGAATAAGACAAAGACTTTCCAACTTCCATATTTGATGGAAAACTGGGAGGTTAAAGAATCAAAAGTATGTAGCGTAATAGAACTTGTTATTTGATTGTAAAAGTTCTGAGGTTGTTAGTTTATCAAACGTTTGGTTACCGGTCGCTGTAATCCACCCGTGTATGAAAGCTGGGTATATGATGCAGCTAATCGTTGCCAACTGATGATCACAAGCAAGGAACAATTGAGTATTTAATGCGTCAGAAATTAACATTCAAGGTAGTTGGGAGATTGGTAATGCATGCTCTTGCTTGGAGGTTTCCATTGGAGATAACAGATTTGGCCGTTTCCCTTAAAAGTTTTTCTCAGGAGGAAGCGGTTCTTGTCGACCCTTGCGCATCATCTTCATCCATGGGGTCAGCGAGTTTGTCCTCTATAGGCACCGTCTATGCCGCCACGGTAGCTGCATAGCTTGCGAGCCAAAAGAAGCCGTTAATGTGTGTCGTAGGTCATGGGCGGTGCCACCATTTTGTTGGTGGTGTCAAGAGCGGTGGCTTGTCGCATCAGGTCAGCCGTGGCATCGTGGAAGCCTAGTATAAGTCTAAAGCAACTCATGTATTCAAGGCTGACGCGTGGATCTCCCACGGGTAGCGGAGGGTGCACGTGTCTCCTTTGGATTATCTTGTAAATTTTCTTTTAGCCATGACTGTTTTTGTAACTAGGGGATGTTATGCCCCTATTATGTAGTACCTTTTTTTTCTTTCTAATCCCTTGTCATGCATCTTTTTTTGACAACAAAGTACTCTTTATTGCAAGGTGATCACCATATTATCTTCTACAAGAATATCAGCAATCTCTACAGGTGAATCTTCCATCGACCCCGCACACACACCTTCGAGCTTAATATACAAAGGAGATGCTAGTTTGCTAAAGAAAAGATTCAGGGCAGTTACTAAATCTATCAAAAAACTCAGGACGGTTGCATCCCGGAATTTTCTAAGCGGGTTCCAGCATGGATTGATGGATGGTACATAATCACGTATCAGGTAGCAGCATCATTGTGCTCGTGAATGAAATCGCAAGTGCCCTTATTTTTTTTCCCCTAACGAATCCGCAGCGTGTTAATTAGGTACCTCTACGCAACTTCGTCCTACATGATTCGGTGGTTGCCTGTTAAACAGGTTGGTTCCGATGATTGATTCCAACAAGAGTCAGTCAGGCCAACGTCCACGCTTTAATTGTAACGCAAACATTGCTGTTCCTGCTGTTCCCGCCCGAATCTCTCGTTCCTAACGCGGCATCGTCGCCAAAGGCAGCACTTAGCTGTACGTTCCTGAAAGAGAATACGATTTTCCAGAGTACTGTGCGTATCTCTTTCTAGCAGAAATGGAACACAGCTCAGAGCATCAGCCTGAGCAGGGCAGGTAGGGGTGCAAGCTGACGGCGTCCCCATGTCCACGACCGTCGTCGAAGCAAAAATTACACGACGGGGTCGGCATGTCCACGACTGTCCGTGAACAGAAATATGCAGATGATGTCTAAGGGCGAGTTTTGCTACATCTACGGAAAATAGTCTTAAACTTATGTAGTACAGTACAAGCTTACATGGTCAGGCCCACCCGTGAAATTCAAGGGGAAGGTGATTAGTTTATACAAAGAAAAGTTACGTAACATCATGTAAGAGGTTACATAGGTGTATCATTTTTGCTCAAGGGCAGGTCCGCACTACGCAGTGTGGACAGAAACATGCAATGTGTAACTGCCGAGCCGTGATTTCTCGCAGGATTTGCTCCGGTAGCCATGTGACCCCTACACAAAGCACGTCGTCGGGTGCAACAACCGTGGATGGCGATCGCGTCGCCCTGCACTGCGCCTGCCTATAAATACCCCGGCAATATGTTACTCCCAGAACATCAAAGCATACATAGCTCAGCCTCCCAGCCCGACCTGCTCAGTGCGCTGGTACACTACCCCCACAAGCTCGAAGAAGCGGTGGTGCTTTGACATGGCTCCTCTTTCGTCCAAGGCCGTTGCACTCGTTGCACTGTCCTCCCTCCTCGTCACCTACGCCTCTGCCGGCGCCGGGAACTTCAACGACTCCGCCTTCACCGCCGACCCCAACTGGGAGGACGCCAGGGCCACCTGGTACGGCGCGCCCACCGGCGCCGGCCCCGACGACGACGGTACGTCCGTATGCGCCGGCCGGTGCATGCATGGCGCCGCGGCCTTCGCTTAACTGATCGTTTGTGTAATAACATGCGGTGATCGATGTGCATTCAGGCGGTGCGTGCGGGTTCAAGAACACCAACCAGTACCCCTTCTCCTCCATGACATCCTGCGGCAACGAGCCCATCTTCAAGGACGGCAAGGGGTGCGGCTCCTGCTACCAGGTAGCTACACTAGCTCGTTCGTCATATTTTTGGTGGTTTGCCCCTGCCGTACGTGGTGGAAATGGAGCTGGTGACACAGTGCTAGTCTTGACTTGTGATCGTTTACTATCGCCTTTTCAGATACGGTGCACCAACGACCAGTCCTGCTCCGGCAACCCGGAGACGGTGGTCATCACCGACATGAACTACTACCCGGTTGCCAAGTACCACTTCGACCTGAGCGGCACCGCGTTCGGCGCCATGGCCAAGCCCGGCCTCAGCGAGAAGCTCCGCCACTCGGGCATCATCGACATCCAGTTCAAGAGGTCGGTGGCATGCATTTCATCACTCGTTGCACGAATCCTATCTGGCCCTACCTGAACGATGAACAGTCTCATACTCTATATAACCAGTGCTTTTGTTGCCCAACAAAACTTTCACGACGGCGACCGGTTTAACTGGGACCCAAATAGATTCGCAGCGAATAATACTACTCTATTTTGAGTACCGTCGCCTCACACTTATTTGCCGTCGTCCCGGCTCGGTTACGAAGTAAGCTACAATGGCACATGGGTTGCTGATTGCTGCTGATGATGATTGATGCAGAGTGCCGTGCGAGTTCCCCGGTCTCAAGGTGACCTTCCACGTGGAGCAGGGGTCGAACCCGGTGTACTTCGCGGTGCTGGTGGAGTACGAGGACGGCGACGGCGACGTGGTGCAGGTGGACCTCATGGAGGCCAACTCCGGGACGTGGACGCCGATGCGCGAGTCGTGGGGATCCATCTGGCGGCTGGACTCCGGCCACCGCCTCCAGGCGCCCTTCTCCATGCGCATCACCAACGAGTCCGGCAAGACGCTGGTGGCCGACAAGGTCATCCCGGCCAACTGGGCGCCCAGCACCTTCTACCGCTCCATCGTCCAGTACAGCTGAAGCTGCTCATCATCTGGAATCATGGCATGCATTGGCTTGATTTGGTATCTGTACTATCATGGATCGTTTTGCATGGGTACGTACTACCGAGGAGGTTTTTGATTAAGGTTAAGGTTGGGTCGTCGATCGGGTGTCATGTAGGCGTCGTCGTGCATGTGTGTGTCGAATACGTCGGTGGGATATGGAGGAGGGGCACTTTTGCATGTGCACTCCCGCGCCCACTGTCACTGTACCAGTGTGTAAGCAGACCATAAGTTATTACTGTTTGTGTGCACTCCTGCTTAACTCTTGTCCCTCCTTCAGTCTCTCATCAGTACTGCCGGTACTCATCTGTTCGTATTGCCCTAGTACTTGTCAAACTTGATTATGCACGCCAGGAATTTGATCCTAACTTTCTAACCAACGTACGGGCACGGCCAGTGGAAATTCTACTCCGTTCCGGTAGATTCGACGATCTTGGAGAGGTCGGTACGTCATAATTTTTGCAACGACCAGAGAAAGCACGCAGTCGAGTATGTCTGCGTCATATCAGTTACCACCGACTAGCTAGTGCGTCTATCGAACGCAAAGGGCGCCAATCACCCGGCACATGTCTTTCACTTTCGAAAGCTCCTTTTCTTTCCGTATGGTAACCACTAACCAATTCGTTCGTTCTGTAACCGTCAGTCTTATGGCTTGCTAATGATAGTGAATGATTTGTAGTAACTTTTACACGAGAGACGGCCGGCAACATCGCCGCCTAAAAGTTCACTCTAGCTAAGCTGGCCTTCCCTTTCCTAAGAAAGTTGTTTAACTGGCATGCATGCTACTAGAGACCGCTGGATCGTCGCCGTAAATACTGGCGCTAACCCCTCCCAATCGCCGAGCTAGTCTTTGGTCATGTTGTCCACTTAAACTACTCCTAAATAACCTGAATCTGCTGAATGTAAGACTTTTCGGCTGTTACCGACAGGGTCAAGCTGGCTCCGGTAGAAGGGTGACGGCAGCGACTCATCGGCGGCTCATTCGGACGGCAGTAATGGCCGTTAGGTGGTCTACGAATCTCGATGTAATTTTTATTTTGTGTTGACAATGCTTTGTACTTCCAATGAAGTTTTACAGTTAATTTGATCCTTTTAGAAAAAAAAAACTGAAAAACCTTATCGTCGATGTCCTCTCTTTTTCTCCGGACAAGCTGAAGAACATGAAAAAGAAGGACGAGACCTTCCACCTGACCCGCACCGGTCGTTTCTCCCAACAGTTAACAGCGGAAAGGGACAAAGTAACGGACTGCTCAGGCGCATGTGCGGGGCGCGGAGTGGGATGCCGACGGCTGCGTCGCCTACCCGCCTCTGCATGTGAGGTGCGGGCCACGGCCGCCCGCCGAAGGGTGGAAGGAGCGACCACGTACGATCGACTCGCTCGCGGCACGCCGGCCGGAAGTCACTAGCCCAGCTCTTGCACCAGATTTTCCTGGGCCCGCCGGCGCGCACCCACCGCTGCCGCCTTGCCGGCTCCGTCTCAGACTGAGCTTTCGGCGACCCAGCGAGCGATCCATCTCCCACCACGTAATTGATCTCGATCTCCATTGTGTGCCGCGACGGGTGCTAAGAGCATCTTCAGTCGTTCAGCCGAGGAGTTTGCAATAGCGCCGCCCTGGGACGGGCCGCTCGCCGTGGCACGCTACGGCGCCGGTCCTGCATAATGGCGGAATACCTTACGGTCGAATTGCGTGTTTTCGGTGATTCGTTGTAACGCGGAACAAAACTGCGGCCTGTTTCTGGACAATTCTTTCTATGCGAGTGTCTTCTTGCTTTAGCCGGTGGATGGAATGTTTGAACTACCGAGTAGACTCGAGTAGTAGGAGGACAATGATCAAGGAAAATGCACCCACGCATCGCCCAAGAAAAACGGGGCAGCTTCACGTGCGCTCTTACTTGCGCCACTCGTCAACGTGCATTTTCGGTGGTGCGGGAAGATACATCAACTGCACATACGTGAACGTGATTAGGAGAAAAAGGAGGTGAGTAAGCATTTTCATCGATATCCCAAGTGAAAACAAATTAATTTCGTCCGCAGCTATCTTTTTTCTTTTTGGTCGCCCTCCAAATCGCTCTTCAGCAGGGCGACTTGAGCAGCGACCAAATCTTCCTTAGAGCATCTCTGCCCTCCCCAGGTAATTTTGCCGCGCCGGCGTCCAAAATTCGGCCCAGTCGCGCCCTCAGGAACCCGTTTTTCGCCGACTTGAGCCAAAATCGGCGCCGGCGGCCCCATGCCGAACCCGACGCGTTGGGGGCGTCCGGGGGCACCGGGGCGAGGGGTTTTGGCGCGAAAACTCGACGGGCCCGCTGAGTCAGCGGCATGTGCCTCGTCCTCCCCAGAACGCCTCGGTTTCCCGCGAGGAATCAATGGCAAGGCTGCCGCCGGTCAGCCTTGCCATTGATTCCTCACGAGTGGCGCGTCACGGGCGGGCAGGCGTAGCAACGCCTCCACTTCTGTCACGCGTTCACACGGCCTGGGGCTATATAAACAGATAATTTTCTCGCCGCTGGCCACATCAGCCGCCGTCCCTCCCTTCCACCATCGAGCCCAAACCAGCCGGCGTCCCTCCCTTCCGCCGCCGAGCTCTGCCGCTCTCCCCTTCCCTCCCCTTCCCCTTCTCTCTCCATGGCTGAAACGCTTCCCCGGCGACGCCGCGGCGGCCAATGGCTTCGCCCCCCGCTCGCTCCAGAAGGGCGAGGCGTGGCTTCTCTTCAAGGCCAACATCCCGGCGCCGCCGAACATGCGCGCCGGGCCGACAGGGTGGAGGCTCAGCAACGACGGCGTCTCCATCCCCCCGATGCCCGACGCTGACGCGCGCCCCAACCTCTTCGCCGCCGAGGTCGACCGCGTGCGGTCGTCCCTTGTCAGGACCCCGATTCCAAGTCACATCGATCTAGCCGGTAACACCTCATATCACTTTGCGGCCTCACGCACGGTATTCCCACGGGTGTCGCCTTACCATGGCCCAGGACCGTTTGCGCCTTTTGGCTCACGTATATGATAATGTCGCTAGCATCCATATGACAGAGAACCCGGGCCGACATGGCTAGTCGTGAACCCAAGCGGCACTAACCTATGGGGGCAGGCATACATGAATCACATCGAGCATGTCGGTCAGCAGCGTGTGAATCTGGGCTGTAGCACTGGGCTAACAGGACTCCGGGAACCCGGGCTGTAGCAGGCTAGGTAGGACTCCGGATGTCACCGCGTGACATTTCCCCGAAGGGACAGACACAGAAACAAAGTGAAACACATGCCGGCCAGTCAAGTAATCTGAGCAGTAGTGCTGGGCTAGCAGGACTCCGGTGAACCGGGCTGTAGCGGACTACTATGGCTCAAGGAAGCACTGGACTACATTTCCCCATAAGAGAGGCTGCCAAGGATAAACAACTAGATTGTCGGATCCCACACATACCAATCATTTCAATCATACACACAATATGCTCGATATGTGTAAATACAACATGGCATCACAACATAACTCTACGACTCAAAGTATTTATTTATTAGGCTCCGAGGAGCGAGATATTACAAACATGGGTCTCATGACCCAACATACAGAGCATACAAGCAACATGCACATGCGGAAGCTTAACTTGTCTGAGTACAGACAACTACAAATGAAGAAGGCTGAGAAGCCTGACTATCTACCAGATCCTGCCAAGGGCACAAGATCGTAGCTGAGGTATCAAGCTAAACGTCGAAGTCCACGCGGAACTACTAGCGAGACTAACATCTCTCTGCAAAACATAAAATAGGCAAACGTGAGTACAAATGTACCCAGCAAGACTTACATCAGAACTAGCTACATATGCATCGGTATCAACAAGGGGGGTGGTGGAGTTTAACTGCAGCAAGCCAGCTTTGACTCAGTGGCTAACCTGAACTACGACTACAAGCAACTCTTTTAAGGTGGCGCACACGAGTCCACATATTCACCATTCAATACACCAATATGGATCCGCTCCCGTCTCCCTACGAGAAGGCCATCCATAGCACTCACACTTATCTTGCGAGTTTTAGAGTATCCACTTTCACTTGTCTATGAACTATCCAAGGGGTCCAAGTTTCCATATCCGAGGAATCCGGCTATTCGAATAGATAATGATAACCCTGCAGGGGTGTACTTCTTCACACACGCTCCCACCACTTACCACCATATACACGTCATGTATCTCGGCAACCTTCAAGCGGAAGCCTGGCGAGGGTGTCGGCCACGACCTACCTAAACACTTAAGTCTCTAGTCCAGGTTTATCGCCTATCCAGGTTCCATCCGCAAGGAGTCCGGCCGAGGTTTCCACATACAGCCCCGAATGATGTGAACAGGGTCCCGAGATGCCTAACGGGCGCCCGGCATACCCGACCACGGTGTATCTACCGCAACATAGCCCACCCCTAGGGTCAGCGCTACGCACGGCCGCCAACACAGAACCTACAAACACCAGAAACTAGTTGCAACTCCTGGACAGAGTACTAGGGTGATTAAGAAGCCGAGAGGGTCAATTAAGGATCCCAATGAGTGGTAGTAGCTGTTCATGGATCACAGACACAGAATTCAGTTCCTGAGGACGGCTGCAATGAGACAACCCACCATGTACTCCTACATGGCCTCTCACCACTACCTTTACCAAATCGTGTTCACACACTTAGCTCACACACAGTAGGACATGTTCATCACTGTTCCAATTCACCCCCGATGAATCAGACCTGACTCAACTCTAAGCAGTAGTAGGCATGACGAACAAGCATGAATGAGTAGGCACATCAGGGCTCAAACAACTCCTACTCATGCTAGTGGGTTTCATCTATTTACTGTGGCAATGACAGGTCATGCAGAGGATAAGGGGTTCAACTACCGCAACAAGTAACAGATGAATTGTTGTTGTCCTAATGCAGTAAAAGAGAGCAGGTGCGAGAGAGTGGGCTTGTATCGGAATGAACAAGGGGGTTTTGCTTGCCTGGAACTTCTGAAGATAAC